GGGGGGGTGACTCCTAAGAGGAACCACGATCAGAAGACTCCACCACCCACTCTAAATGGTATCCTTGAGCCCATCACCAGCCTAATGACCTAAGGTACCGAGTGGGGTGTGGGGAGTCCTGCTCTGGAACTGCTTCTAATGAGGCTGTGCAGACAAGAATACAACAAATACATTTTCTGGTTTTAAAAACTCCATTCCAGTAAAAAGTTTATTAAAACTAACAAAAACAGGCCCAGCCTTTATGGCAAGGTAGCATACCAGAGGGAAGGGGATTGCAGCATGACCAAACCCTGCTGGGAGTACTGGGTACTTCTCTCTCTCTTTCATGCAGACATGCTCTCTTATGAATTAAATAAAACCCTCTATTCCACAGACTGCATACAACTGGCTCACAGAATACTGATCATGTTAGCCTTAAAGTCTTAAAGCAGTGTAAGTGCAACCCCGAGATGGATACTGTACTTCAGCGGTGAAATACTGTTTTTCTTGACCAAAAATGATTTTCTGCTGAGACTTCCCCCTCCAGACTCAGTTCTAGTGGGTAGGGATACCTCTGTCTCCTTTTCTCCATTTCTCTCCGTCTCTCTCTGTCACACTATGTTTCCCTGTGACTTTTAATATTTTTTAATTTCTTTTTTAAGGTAAAGTATTCTCTGGGCTCTCAAGGATCTCCTTTATTGTGCTAATTGGTGCCTTTCTCCACTTCATTTAGAAAAGGCACAAACCCAGGCCAGGCCCCTCCTGAAATGGATATCCTACTTCAGCTGTGAAATATTGTTTTCCGAGCAGCGTGGTTTCCTTTTTTTTTCTTTTTAAAAATTATAATCTTATGGTTTTTTATCATCTCCTTTTATTTCTTCTTTTTCATTTTTTTCTTTCCTCTTCCTTAATTCTTTTCCCTTTTTCTTTATCTTTATTCATTGGCTGATCAGCTTCTATGCACTAAGTGTCCACACAGGTCCAAGTGAATAGTATCCAACCATCTGAATATGATTAGGGTCAGAATATTCCTCTATTCCCATGAAATCTGATGCACAAGGAGTGAAAATGAGACAGAAGACAGAGAGATTATAGATCACCTCCTTCTGCATGCCTCTGAATGCTCAGATTAAACTTCAAGAATTAGGAAGAAATGCACCATCCATCTACTAGCAATCACCGCAGGGTCACAAGAAATATGGGAAAACAAGAAGATACCTCTCCTCCAAGGGAAAAGAATAACTCCTCTCCATCCTCAGATGGTACAATGAAACTCATGGAACTATCTGAGGTGAGGAAATTATTGCAAGATGTAAAAGAGGAAATACATACTATAAAAAAGAATCAAAAGGACCTGTTAGAGATGAAGGCTACAATATAGGAAGTCAAAATCTCCCTTGAAAGTATTAAAAGCAGACTAGATCACACAGAAAATAGAATCTTAGATGTATAAGACAGAATCGCTGGCCTAGAAAAATCCACCACAAAGACTGAGAAAATTGCCCCCAAAATTAGAATAATATACGAGAAATACTAGATACCATCAAAGGTCCAAACATCTGGGTAATTGGTATGCCAGAAGGTGAAGAGACTCATAAGGGTATTGATAATCTATTCCATGAAATCCTGCAAGAAAACTTTCCAAACTTAGAGAGGCACTCAAAGATCCAGTCCCAAGAAATACAAAGGACCCCTAATAGAATCAACCCAAGAAGATCTTCTCCAAGACACATTATAACCAGATTGACCAAAACCACAGATAAAGACAAGATACTAAGATTGGCAAGAGAGAAATGTCATGTTACCTATAAAGGATATCCCATCAAGTTAACAGCAGGCCTCTCATCAGAAACAATGTGAGCAAGGAAAGAATGGGAAAATATATTCAAAGTATTAAGGGAAAAGCAATTTCAAGAATACTGTACCTGGCAAGATTATCCTTCATATGAGAAGAAAAAAAAAGAACATTCTCAGATAAACAAAAACTGAGAGAATTTACTAGCACCAGACCAGCTCTCCAAGAAGGTCTGAAGGAGTGCTATACCAGGAAAATTAAATACAGACAAACACACAAAAAAAGAATTCAAAAACTAAGAAAACGGCCAACTTAATCGTAGGGACACGTCTGGAGTTGAATATTATATCCCAGAATTTAATCGGGAAGATCAAACCACAAGAGAAGATAAATTATATAAGACTGAACTGGCGAAATAGAATTTTATGACTTTTGACTAAAACATTGCTGATTTTCTTTTAGACTTTGTTTTCCAGTTTTCATGATTTCTGTCCTGTCTTGAGCTGCCAATAGGTTCATGTACCTACTATTTGAACAGAATCCTAATCTGTTTCCTGGCTTTAAAATTTAAGCAAAGTTCCTTACCATTTCTTTGATTTATTAAAACTAAAACTGCTTTTCTTGAAATTTAAAAATATATTTAAAAATACCTATTTAATGACCATAGTAAGCTATATAGCATCGGCTAGGTGCTACCTTATAGTACATTCATTCTACTCACAGTTTCACACCTAAAGTCAAACAAGTATTCAGAGATACGTACATACCAGCTGAACTTGCTATTGAAAGTACTGAGATTATTTAAGAAATTTTGTGAA